ATGACTTTTTGATGATTTCAATGATTCTTTTTGATGATTTCTTTGACTTTTGATGATTCCTGTATGACTTTTTGATGATTTCTTTGACTTTTTGATGATTCCTTTATGACTTTTTGATGATTTCTTTGACTTTTTGATGATTCCTTTATGACTTTTTGATGACTCCGTTATGACTTTTTGATGATTCCTTTATGACTTTTTGATGATTCCGTTATGACTTATGATGATTCCTTTATGACTTTTTGATGATTCCTTTATGACTTTTTGATGATTCCTTTATGACTTTTTGATGATTTCTTTGACTTTTTGATGATTTCTTTGACTTTTTGATGATTCCTTTATGACTTTTTGATGATTCCGTTATGACTTTTTGATGATTCCTTTATGGCTTTTTGATGATTCTTTGATGATTTCAATGATTCTTTGATGGCTGATGATTTCAATTATTCTTTTTGATAATTATTCGATGATTTCAATGATTCTTTGATGACTGATGATTTCAATTATTCTTTTTGATGATTCTTTGATGACTTTGATGATTTCAATGATTCTTTGACAACTTTGATGATTACAATTATTCTTTTTGATTTAACAATCCTTTTTAAGCACAATGTAAAAAGACCAAATCCAAATAAATAAATAGTGTGTGACACTTCGGTAACAGCATTGTTACCATCTTCAGACAAAAGTAATGAACCATTGTGTTTATAATCTATAATCCAAATTGTGCTTTATAACAATCCTTTTTGATTTCTGTTAAAATGATTAGAAATAAGGTTCCTTTTAAGAAATTCAAGGTTGTGAACAATTCAAATTGTGTCAGAGAGAATGGTTGTTGATTGTTGTTGATCTTGTTAGAGGTCATCAGACAAATTACTTCTTTGTTTGGGAAGCTGTACTATGGTGTTGACAGAGACATCTTTGATGGCTGCAATAAATAACTCCAATATTCGATTCGAAGATCAATTTTCTTGTGTCAAAGTTTCCAGCAAAATATGCATTGGGAAAACAAATCAAAGAATTAGTGTAGGAACCTCCACCAGAAAAAAAATTCAAGTTTTTTTTCCGCGGATTTTAATATTCCAAGATTTTCTTAACAGCATTCTGACCTAGATGATCCCAGGTTAAGTAACACTGCTGATATTGTAAACAATAGCAGATTTCATTCATTAGCTACATTAACAATTATCTCTATGGATTTTTTTTTATTTCTTTGATTCCTTTAATCCTCTTGACATATATTTCATTCATTAGTATTGAAAGAGGTTCAGAGATCCCACGTTCTATCTCAAGTTGCAGAAAGATTGCATTAATCATTTTTTCAATGTATGAGATTTGATGAAAACAAATTCAGTTGTCCTATGTCTATATATATATTTTTGTAGTTCACATAAGGAAATAGTTAGTCTTGTATATATATATAAGTTCAAGAATATTGCAATGTCCAAGTTTCCTTTCAATGTATGAGATTTGATGTAAATAAATTCAGTTGTCCAATGTCTATATATATATATTTTTAGTCCATACAGGGAAATAATTTGCAGCAGAAATTTTAATCTTGAAGATGTGAATTCAAGAACTGACCTATGGCATTTTAAAATGCTTATAAGTACTGTAGATTATACAAATATCTACATACATATAATTGATAAGGCACAATTTTTTCCACTTTTAATTCTAAGAATAATATTCTGTGTTTCTCAGATAAATATCTTCTTCTTATCTGTTATCTTGTTTACACACTTGATAACAGTAGCTATTTAAAACATGCTGTGGTAAAATTGCTTATGAATCACTATAGGAGCCCCATTCAATCTTTCAAACAAAATTTTCAAAGAAGATCTCAACCAGCCTAATATATAAGAGATTTATCAAGACTCTGCGACAAGACTATTCTCGCAATTTCAAAAATCATCAAATCCAACTATACAAGAAATTGTTCAAAATCAAGGTGACCTCAGCCACCGAATCCAACAACCTGGACCCAATGGCTAGCTGACAGCCAAACACCCAACAACTGCCCTCCTGTAAGGTTCGGGGGGCCACTCCAGCATTACAACTCGCCATGTGTAAATAATCTGGACAAGGTGACTCGCGAGCTGTGCTCGAATGTAACACCTGCAAATTGAGATGAAATAAATAAAGAAATAAAAAATTTCTCATTCATTACTTTTGTCTGAAGATGGTAACAACGCTGTTACCGAAACGTCACACACTATTTATTTATTTGGTCTTATTACCTTGTTTTATACATATAATCTATAGTATGCAAATATGTAAACCTCTTCATTATATAGAATACATGAATCTGCTATACTAGGATTGAGATCCCCCCCCAGCACTTAATCAAAAACTTTAAAATTCTTGATTCACATTCTGAGAGATTGTTGAAAGTCCAGAGACACTTTTCTGGAAAGAGAAAATATATTTTGGATATTCTTTAATCCCATGTGACATCACACTTATATCACAGAGACCATAGATCTTTTGGAAAATCTTAATAGCTTTGAGGTTGTTACATGTAGAGCTCTTTTACAAAGCCACCATCCAAAAAGGCTGATTTCACATCTAAATATATTACACTGATAGACAAAACTTAAGGAAGTTGTACCTTATAGCATATATATATCGGGATTCAGAAAATAACTCTGAGAGATATGCATGAAATATCTCTCAGAGTTATTTTCTGAATCCCGATATATATATGCTATAAGGTACAACTTCCTTAAGTTTTGTCTATCAGTGTTATTTGCATATCTAGGGTGCTTTGCGCACTTTCCTATTTTGTTTATCATAGATTCAAGTTTCACATTATAAATATATATATATTTTATAATATAAAAAAAGATAAGATTTCTGTTGTATTTTAGATCATGTTTTGAGGATTATGCTATGGGGATTGCAGTCGTGGTTAAATTCTTGATAGAATAATAATAAAAATGGTTTTGATCAGTAATTGCTTTTATTGTGCTAAAGGAATATATAAAAACAATCATTTGATAAAAGTACCGCCTGGCTTAAGGCGAGTAGAACAAAGAAAACAAAAGAATATTTACATAATGTACAAAGATTTGAGCCGGCCAACGGGGAAGAGAGAAAATATCTTTATTTTACGGGGCTGCTAACCAAAATGAATGATTTTAAAAGGCCAACGGGGAAGAGAGAGAGAGAAAATGTTTTTATTTACGGGGCTGCTAACCAAAAATGCCAACGGGGAAGAGAGAAAATATGGTTTTACGAGCTACTAACCAAAAGTTATGATTTTTTAGCCCAAGCGCGATGTCAGGTGGCAAGGGACCCTAGGATCTGGCAGCAGGAGATGTGTCGCAGGGGTAATGGAAACGTTGGGCAAGCAGGGGAACAGCGCCAGGTTGCAGTGAGGCAGGAGCCTTGAATTGGCCAGGAATCCAGTAGAAGGTGGCAGATGGAATTGGAGGCAGAAGGTCCTTTAAGCCTAGAACTTGAGGGCCCTAGACTTCAGGATGGGGCAGCTTGAGGCTCTCGCCTCGTGCTTGTCAGGAAGGCCCTTGGAGCAGCAGTTGGCACATTTGGAGGTGCGCTGGTCAGCAATGGATGGGCAGGCGCGGCCTTCATGGCCGTCTTGACCGCAGTGGAAGCACTTAGGAGCTCTGGAGCATTGGGCAGAGTTGTGACCGAAGCCACAACAGCGGAAGCAGACGCGGGCGCGGATGGACTCCTCGAAGTTGAGGATTACTCCATCCACCACGATTCTCCCGCGAACACCCAGGGCTCTAAAGGTCTTGATGTCCACCTCGAGGAAGGCGGTGCAGGTCCCGTTTCTGGGTGCAGAACGGTGCGCCAAGTGTACCACCTTGTCCCCAGGAAGTTTTCTAACAGCAGCGGTTTCCAGGAAGGTCTCCTCAATTGTGGAGTTGGATGTCTCCTCATCCACTTTGAAGAGGCAGATCCGTGGCAGGATCTCCTTCTGCTGGCGGACCTTCATTCCATTCAACTTGCTGGCCAGGGAGGTCGTCACCTCAGGGATGGTGTCAGGATTACTGGAGTGGAGGTCCAGCTTCCCCTTGGTGTGTAGGGAGGCCCAAACGCCTTGGGGGAGAGTGTGGGCAGCGCGGACAGCTTTTAGCATCTCCCTTGGGTCAGCCTGTGGGTCATCAGAGATGACCACTGTGTGGGCCGCCGAATTTTCTCCGTGGAGGATCACTTGGGCGGCCGCAGGCTTGGATACGGGGGAAGGCGCAAGTTTTGAAGGACCATTCAGGTTTGTCCTCTTTGCAGGCGGGTTGGGAGCTTCAGACTGCTTCCTTTTGGTTGGAGCAGGAGCAGGCAAGGTGGAGGCAGGCTTCTTGGCAGGGAGAGCAGCAGGAGCAGGAGTGGCGGGCTTTATTGGGTCAGTCTGGGAGCTGGTTTCCTTGCAGGAGGGAGCAGGGCAGGTTTGAGTGCCGCGGCAAGCAGTCTTGGGCTTGTTGGCCTCCTCAATTTCATCCAACTCTGCGAAGGACTTGAGGGTGTCAGTGAGGTTCTCTACTTCGGTAGCAAGGGCCTTGATCATTTCAGTCCGCGAGGCGATGTAGCGGATCAGGTCCTCATGCAGGGATTTCAGGGCAGGATGGCCAATGGAGCTCAGGATGCTGCAGTTGCGTGAGATCACCATCTCATCTTCCCACTCCAGGTCGGTGATGTTCACGATGGGCTTGTAGGCCTTCTTTTTCTTCTTGGCAGGATTCATGTATGCCGACTAAACGACCAACGGGGAAGAACAATATTATTCAATTGTTACGCCTTCTACATGCTTTAGGTCAAGCATTCTAAGGCAGAACTCATCATTGGGTGTCGCCATGGGCCCGCTGCGAGGAAGGGCCATGGAGAGGGGTGGAGAGGCGCAGACTGGGCGCGCAAGCGCCCCGAGGAGGAAGAGGGCGGTAGCACGGTTAGAGAGGGAACCAAGGAAGCACCAAGTACAGCGCCAGGCTCCAAGCAAGTCTGGCAGATTGCAAATTTACCTGTTTTTTTTTTTCCCCCCCCAATTTATTTTATTGTAAAAAAAAGTACAAAAATTAGGTAGGTAGCAGAGGGGGTGGAATTATATACAAAGGGAGCAAACAAGGCATCATAAAGCAGCAAGGGTGAGGAGGGAGGAGGGGTATGTACAGAACAAGAAAAGAAATGAAGGGAGGGCAGATTAAATCAAGGAGGAGGGAGAGGGCAATTAACAATATAAATGAAAGAAAAGCATCTAATGGGAATGGGGGAAAGGGGTATTTACAAAAGGTGGAAGCAGGAGAGGGAGGAAACTGGGTATTACCAGGAAGGGGAGGGGGAAGGATAGTGGAGAGTGGGATTGTTTGTGGTTCAGGGAGTTGTGTTGGGTGTGTTGGTGTCTGTCTAGTAGGTTGGGGGGTGAGTGGTTGGGAAGAGGAGAGAGGTGGGTGAGGGTTGTGGGGGAGAGAGGGGGGTTCTAAGTGGAGGTGTCACTGTCGGAGCTAGATTGGGGGATGTTGGAGGGGACGAATCGATTGGAATGGGTGGCAAAGGCGAGGGCCCAGGCTTTGCTGGAAGAGAAGAGCTGAGGGAGGGAAGTAGGGATGAGACCGAGGTTGGTTAGGCAATTTTGGAAAAAGGTAGCGCGGAGGGAGTCGAGGTCAGGGCAGTCAAAGAAAATGTGTTCTATAGTTTCGGGAGCTTGGTTGCAGTGAGGACAGGTGGGGTCAAAGGGGGGAGGGGTCCTCCTATGAGGGTTGGCGGCTATGAAGGTGTGGCCGGTGAGAAGACCGGTGGCAATGGCAGAGCTTGGTAGAAGAAAGCTATGGGAGGAGGAGAGGGAGCTGGGGGTGAGGCCGAGTCTGAGAAAGAAGCTGGGCCTGGCCGAGATGAATTCGTCTTCCCAAAGAGACCAAAAGTGATGGGAGAGGAACTTGTGGTGAGTAGTTTTGGAAGCAAGAGCGTATTTCGGCGGGAGAGAGGGGGCGATGGTGGCTCCTTTTGCTAACGAGTCAGCTAGGCAGTTGCCGAAGTTATCGGAGTGACCTTTGACCCAGTGGAGGGTGAGGTTGCGGGAGGGGAGGAGGGAGTAAAGGAGGGCTTGGCACTTGGCAACGAGAGTGTGGGAAAGACAGGGCAGAAAGGAGAGAGAGACAGTCGGAGGAGATGGCGGTGGAGAGGGAGGGGGGGAGGCTGCTAAGATCGGTAAGGGCGGTTTGGAAGGCGAAGCATTCCGCCTGAAAAATGGAGCAGTGGGAGGCCAAGGGGATGGAGAGGTCGAGGGGGAGGGGGAAACGAGAGGAGAGGGGAGAAGAGGAGATCCTGGCTATGCCGGCCCCGACGCCGCTGCGCGACTTGGAGCCGTCGGTGTAGTAATCGAAGTCGGGAGCGGAGGGGGGGGAGGAGCGAGAAGGAGAGGTCTGGGAGGAGAGGAGGGGAGGGGAAGTGGAATGGGGGAGGGGGGGGTTTCGGGAGTGAAGGGGAGAGGGTCGGGGGAGCGAAGGAGGGAAGAGAGGAGGAGGACCTTGAGGTCCAGGGGAAGGACGCGGAGAAGGGCAATGGCGACGTGAGGGTAGGGACTGTGCGGAACCCCCAAATGGCGTGGATGCAGAATTTGCGTTGGATGGAACGGAGGCTTGCTTTACCGACGCGGAGTTTGACTGCTTCGCACCAGATGGGGGCGGCGTAGGTGATGGCTGGTTCGACGACGCCGCTGTAGAAGCGTCTCCTGGCGATGTAGCCGAGCCCGGAGATGGCGTTTAAATCCTTTTATTTTATACGGCGTTGGAGCATTGGGAGATCCTGCCGAGGAGGGATGAGGCCTTATCGCAGACTCGGTAGAGGTGAGGGGTGAAGGAAAGCGATCGTCGAAAGTAACGCCCAAAATGGTAAGGGTTTCGGGACAGGAGAGGGGGGTGTTGTCTATGAGGAGATGGGGAGGGTTGCAGTAAATAGGGAGGACCAGTGACTTATGTGGGGTGAGGGAGAGCTTGTTGTCCAGGCACCGAAGGCTCGACTGACAATGGTTATAGCTAATTGACCAAATGGGATGGCCTTCTAGCTCTACTACTGGCTGAAATGAATCAGACTGACCGCGGCAAAGGGTACAGGTAACCCGGGGAGATACAGCAACATCGCAATATCCCCCGCGACAACACCCAAGGAACCACCAAGCCCACCACCCAACGCAACGCACGCAGGGGCGGCGCGAAACGCATTTCCAACCATCCGCGAAGAGACGCGCGGCGCCCTCATGGCACCCCTGGAGAATGTGATGCGTGCTAATGCTGTAAGAACATAGGTGAGTATCCCTGGGTCAGAGGGAAAGAGAGGAAGAGGTTTCAAGTTAAAAAAGGTGAGCAATTGTGAAAAGGTTGATTAAAAAAAAAAAAGAAAAAGAATTACTAATAATAATAAAATAATAAAATAAAAATGGCAATAATTGAGTAAATAAATAAGGAGATAAGTGAGAATAATAAAAAGAAGAAAAAAAAATTAAAATAATAATATTATTAATAATAAAAATAAATAATTTCAGAGTACAAAATCTGAAAGTACTAAATCGCATCTTTTGCCAACCAATGAAAATGAGCGGCCATCAAACCACAAAACCCCCGGTTGTGACGTCGCGCAATTAATCGACCAATCAGCGTGCGGCGTCCAATTTCGACCGCGGCCCTCTAACCCTTGGGTGATTAGAGACGGCGCTTGGTGAAATCCCGACCACAAGCCAGCTGGAAAATTAAAAGTTTGACATCGCATACATAGTTCGTGATACACGCATATGCAGGTAAAACACTGAAGTTTAGGTGGAATTAGAGTCGGAAACCTCCTCTGATTCCACC